CCCCAAAACCCCAAAACCCCATGGAGAGAAAATTAGATAAAGAGGAATTATACCAAGTGAAATGAATAAATCGAATTAATATGCATAGTAAAAAGTAACTGGCATCTCATCGAAAGTATGTTAATTAGTAGTTTGTCATTTAGCTCAGCATGAGAATCTTGGAGTGGCAACAGCTAGGGCTGGTTGTTCATTGACATAGATTTGGACTGATACTGATCTAACTTCACGTTTACCCCAGTAAAGATCGATGTCGTAGGTGGTTGAACCAGTGCTAAGAGCCTCAAGAATGACGATATTTTGTTGGTGACCTGGCTCTGATCTAAGTGGCATGTCGTAGTCAAGGCCTGGGAAAACAACGTCATAATCAAGGGAGTGATGATCAGTGTCCCATTCTTGCCAGGCACAGCTGTCCTCTCTTCCGGTGACAAAGATAAGGTCGCCAGTTTGTACGAAGATACCTTCTCTTTCGAGTCTATCAACTTGACATCTGCTATCGAGATTTACCAATACAACCTTAGGGCCGTACAATGTAATGTCATTCTGTAAGTTATCTTCATCATGCTTTGCTCTGCAAGTATAGTCATATTCAACTCTATCGTGATGATGGGCTGGTGCACCGCCACCAAAGCCCTTATCTCCGTGACCGTAATGTCCGCCATACAATCCGGGGCCTCCTCCAAATCCGCCAATGCTGTAGCCTTAATCTACTTAAGCAAGTTGGCTTGGCTTAGCATTATCAATTTGAACTCCTGAAGCAGCGGAGAATAAAGCAGCTCCTGCGATGATTAATGATTTCATATTCTTATTTTTATAATTCCTCTGGGATTTAGCTTTAAATAGGTATCTGTCAGATTTAATTTGGCATCAGCATTTACGTATTATGCAATTTTCCACTTTGTTACTATTTTGGTTATTTTAATAATGCTATTAAATAGATTATACTCTACTCAAGTAAAAGATATTTCGTAAATTTTAAGATATCTCCAGATATGCTATTCATGGGGTTTTGGGGTTTTGGGGTTTTGGGGTTTTGGGG